ACCTCCCTCCGACAAATCACGCTTCACAAGAAGCTACTGCAAATACTACGGTGACCGGTACGGAACGAAAAATTTGCAGTTACTGTAAAAACCTCGGGCACTTGGTGCACGAGTGTCGTAAACGACAATTCAACTTGAGACAAAACAATAACAACGGTGACCACACGACAAAAGTGGGAATTGGTCACAGTGGCATTAACTCCCGGAGCCAGGGAAACACTCCGGAGGTCTCGTCCAGCGGGACGACCAGAGGCCTCGGGAGCGCTCGTCCCGCGTTCACAATCGACTACGCGCCGGGTCCCTCCACGTTCTCCGAGAGGGCGATGGAGACATTCCAGCAGTTGAGCTTGGATGCGACTCCTTCAGAGGACCAGTCGCATTCATGCTCGACACAGGGGCTTACCCCAATATAATTAAGCAAGGAAGTACTACCGACGACGTTGACATAAATCGAAACGAAAGTATACAGTTAACAGGTATCACACAAGAAGTTGTGCATACCCTCGGGACAATTGAAGCAAAAATGTCGCGTGTCTCGGTGATATTTCACGTAGTACCCGATAGTTTTCCAATTGTAACCCAAGGAATATTGGGATCGTCATTTTTTACGGAACATAATGCTTGTATCGACTACGGACACAATCAAATTACATGGGATAGTCAACACTACCCATTCAAGGATAAGGAATCCGTCGTGCTCCCACCACGCACCAGCTCTATGATAATTGTGCGCATTTCAAACCCCGAGCTAAAAACGGGATACATTCCGCGATTACGCGCTTGCGAGGGAGTTCACGGCGGAGAAGCAATCGTTACCTGTATTAATAACAAAGCATGCATACGCATGATAAATACTCAAGACCGCGAAATTGAAGTTGTAATTCCTACCATAAAGCTACAAGAAGTCGACGAGATATCGACGAGATATCGACGAGATAATAATTTAGAGCTGTATCTGTGTAAATTGTTAAAATTTATTCTATAATAGCAATAATCTTTGCTGAAAAATGATATCGATAAAATTCTTATCGACATAATACGTTAGGTAACTTCTCATTGTTATTATTACAAGCCAAATTCCAATTAATAAATTCCACATTTTCAATTAATAAATTTACAAACTAAATACAGAGTATTTAGTATAAGATCTACTCGTATACAGGTAGATTTCGTTAAACTAACTCTCTAAATTTCTTCGAGTGAAATTTCACTCGAAAAAAAGGGTAATTCACTGAATCACTCAAGTTGGAATGATTTTTCACTCATATGGAGTGAATTCTTTTACTTTCTTCCACTCTGTGTCGTGAAGTGAATTCTTTTACTCTGTATCGTGAAGTGAATTTCACTCTGCGTCCTTAAGTGAATATTTTCACTCATAAAAAGAGTGAATCTGATATGTTCCACACCACCGTTGGAAAGAAAGCGCCAGGAAAAAAGAAGATCGGTCGTAGCAACTCGTTCACAGAGATGCAAACTGTGGGGCCGAGCACCATCGAAGTGTTACACTTCGATGGTGCTCGGCCCCACAGTTTGCATCTCTGCTCGTTCAGTGTAGTTGCTACATGCTTGTCGACCGACCACGACCGTTGCTTCTCGTCAATCGTTCTTGATCCTCTCGTTTTCGTGTCGACATTGAGATATATTATTATATACATAGAAAATAGAAATGTCGTTTCTTCCAGAGGTAAGTGCTAATGACCCTTGCACAATGCCAGGCAATGGGCAATAGGAACAGTAAATAATCAAAATTTCGTTAATGTAACCTAATAAATTCGTACGCTATGATTAGTTGGCAACAGGCAATAGACACAGAATTTCCAACGTGACGGAATTTTTGTGTCTATTGCCTGTATCACCGTTCATTCTTTATTGATACAAGATTTCTGATTTCTGTTCCTATTGCTTAATTGTTACCTGGCATTGTGCAAGAGCCAATCTCCCGTTCATGACGGGAGCGAGCGCGCAGTGTATAAGAATGTACATATATATTGAGTTTATTTATTAAACGTCATTACGCGACGTCCCGATCGGAACCTAACCAAAATCCTGGTAAGTTCCGATCTGGAGTGCGTGCCGCACGTCTTCTAACCTAGAAGAGAAATTTTTGATCTTCCGGGGTTGCATCACCCGATTGCATCATCCCGCGCGAGGTCCGATAGTCGGGCCTCTGCATCGTATAATACAATCAATTAAAACTTGCTCTTTTTTACAACGTTTACTGATTTGCTCATTCCGTCTATTGGTTAGTCGTGGCCGTGTCAGCTCATGATAGTAACTGGGTGCCAAAAAACCGGAAGAGGTGTATAAAATCCTGGTTGCAGTTATATATCGGTTCTATTAAAATAATAAATTTTTTGTTAGGAAACTCTCAATAGCAAGGAAGATTTGTCACGGTTTTTATTAAACAATGGTATCTCGGAAGATGCCGTCAATGTTCTAAAAGGTAAGATTTAGTACAATTGGCAAAAGTGATAGTAGTAACGTTAAGTAACATAACGTAATGTATGTTACATATATAACGTTAAGTTTTTAAATAATATTATAACAAATATAGCTCATTTACGCAAAGAGAATAAATCAGAAGATAATAATTACAAATAACATTTTTATTATATGTACACAATTAGGTGTTATAACGTTACTGCTGTAACCTAAATTTTGTTTTTATTTATTCTCATGTATGTTTTCTTACAGATACAATATAAAACAGGGTGGATTAAAATTAAATTAAAAGTTATCCGTCATATGGTTACATTTGCAGTTTAATTCTCTTAATTATTTTGTTTTTATACTTTTAAAAGATATCTTTCAATATTACAGCAATGACTTTACTTAAGTGTTTTAAATGCAAAAAGACATTTCCCGGAGTAAGACAATATTTTGTTCACTTTCGTCGCCATCATACTATTATGGTTAGCAGATCATATTCATCAGGATTCTATTGCAAACAAGAAAATAGTGATAAACGTTTTATAAGGTTTGATTCTTTACTGCGTCACATTAAAAAATGGCATGTTGTCACGGATGAAATATGCAATTCAGATATAGATTCATCTAAGAAATCTGCAGATTATCCCAGTACTTCAAAGAAAGTACAATCATCAGAAGAAAGTAGATATGATTCAGAACAGCATAATATTTGCGAAGATAGAGATCATTGTCACGAGTCATCAAAAGAATTTAATCTGACAACGAGTGCACAACAATTTATTGCTAATTTAAGGATATTGTTC